CCATCTCATTTGAAAACAAAAAAGCCAAACATTTTACATATAGGATCTGGAACCATAATTTTCTAATGTCAAAGTTCATATGAAATACCTCTTATGTTGTCTCAGCCTGTTTCCTGGCAGAGAGCTGTAATCTCCGAGAACACATAAATGTTTCAGTATTAGTACTAAGAAGCCACATGAGGGAGCATTTGGAGAATTGAAATGCTTTCCTTGTATCATTGTAAATAAGGGAGGGAATCAAACTTGATCCCTCTGGGATATATGGAATTCAGACAAATCTAGATGTTATTATTCATTTCTCCGCTCACACTGGGATGCGGAAATTGTGATTCCCACTGAAAACAGAGGGTGTTTTTTTAAAAAAAGCCCATTAGTGGTCTGAAACAGACCATTTCTCACTCTGGCCAAGGTATGCTGTGACTGGTATACCCGCCCGAAAGGGAGCACAGATAAATGGGTTTGCATTTCAGCTAAATGAAATTATGGGACATTCTGTATACAGAGCTGAGTGTGACAGCAGTACCAGTTTTCCCAGATTATCAGCAGCCTCAGCTGACAGTAGCAGGGAGTGGCAAGGTCCCACTTTCTGCAATATTCTGACTAAGCAAATAGCTCAGCCAACAATGCTTCTAAATTACTTTTACACCTAATACTTTTGTATCTTAGAGCTTACTAAAAAACCAAAATCCACAGGTGTATAAAATTAATCCCACTGTTCTTATAAACTGACTCAGAATTTTTGGAATATTTGGGGTTGGCAATAGTGAAAATGGTCAAAATGGGAAATAAAAACTTGTCCACATGAACTATAATGGGAAGTGTGCATAAACTGGTGCTCTGTATTCTTATACCAGAAAAAAAAATAGTCAGCTGCAACTTGGGCTATCTTTATTGACAGTCAGCTCAGTCAAATAACACCATATGACTTCACTAAAAACATTTTTGTCAATAGTGCTAAACAGGTGTTCAATAAATAAAACATTTAGCACTCTACCTCAAAAGTCAACATTCATAGAACTTGTTCTCAACCAAAGAAACTTATATTCAAGGTAATTTTGAAATCAATAGAAAAGGACTCCACCAAGATCTCATTTTTTCCCCCTCAGTATTTATACCTGAAATTGGCTAAAGAGCAAGTAACTAATGAACTGCATAAAAATCAGTTTGCAGCTATAATGCTATGACCACTCATGGCTGTGAATGCTTGACTGCAAAAAATGCAATTCCTTTTGAGGTGCAGAAGTTCCATTAGTCTCTTTCTGCCTAAATTATATAGTAATCAACTCCAGGAGTGGCAGAGAAGTGGAAGAGAAACAGAAAAAAGAAAGAGAAGCACAAACTTTTAGCTTTTTAAGTAGGTTTGCTTGGAGCTGAAGGAGGAGGTTGGGTGTGTTCTCACTCAAGTTTTGGGGGAAGGGGTGGTGGGTGCCAGCTGAGCCATGTCAGGAGCCCAGTGGCCACCTCCAAGGGGCTTGGCTGCCTGCCTGCAGGGTGGCCCTGCAAATCCCAGTGGGAAACTGATCCGCACTGGAAATAATCCCTGTTTTTCAAGGGATTAAACTTAACCCAGATGGCTGCAGTGAGTGCATTGGGCTCAGTCCCCCCCCAGGCCCTGTGGTCACAGCACAGGGGGAGCAGGAGATGCTCAGGAGGCTGCATGTGGGGCAGAGCTCTGCAGGTCCCCTCTGCTGCCAGCCCCAAAATCCTGCACACGCACGGCCTAATGGTGCAGGAGAAGCTGGCACTCATCCCCTCTCACTTCCACCTCTTTCACTGCTTCCTGATCTTTGCACGAAGTCATCTGACCCTTTTTATCAAACCAGAGGAGCTCTGGAAGTCTGGTGCTTGCCGATATCCTCATCTCCAGAGAACAATTCTTTCCAGCTCCAGTAAATAGGACTTTAAAGGTAAATGGTACTGTAGTGTTAATTTCAAAGTGAATTATTCAAAAAGTGCTCTATATATCAGCAAGCACCATTTTGTGGAACTATATTAATGTCTTAAATACATTTCTCCCTTTCTAAAAGCTGTTTTATAGATCCAGGAAATATGTCTGGTATGAAGAAGTGCTTATTGTGAAGGATGTTTTAGCAGTTGTGTCCAATTAATGAGGAAGGCAGGATGTAGTCCTATATAAGAAATAGCACAACAGCAATAATTCCTTAGGGCTTGAGAAGCTTCACACTTTCAGATCCTGCACAGTTATCTATTCATTCAAGACACCATATCAGTTTTATTTCATATTCTTATTTTAACTCATAAAAAAAAAAAAAAAAAAGAAAAGAAAAAAAGAGTAAGCTCTCATTTTAACAAAGGCTCCCTGTAAAGAATTGAGAAGCTGAAAATAAGAAATTCTTGCTTTTCAGCAGCAATGCCTCAAATTACTCAAAAAGGACCTTGAAGCTTCCAGGATTAGCTGAAACAAGAAGAAAACTCCCAATGCTGACAGCATGGCCATTCAATAAGGAAAGAACCAGACAGCAAAATTCAATTTTATCCTTGTGATTCAACCAGCAGCTCCCTTACTTCAGTTTCTCAAATTTAAAAGGTTGAAAGAAGACATATGAGCTGCAGAAGACCCCTTCCTAGATTTCTCCATAGTGACACGTTATTGAACACCTCTCTGCAAACAAACTCTAGCCTTACTTTAAGGGAGAATGCATTCAAGTACAGCAACAGAGAAGTGCTGGGAATCTGAGCAGAAATCTTGGTTTTCAGGATTTTTCCTATTCAGATCAAAGAGCCAAAACTTCCCATCTCTTATGTCCCACATCCATTCCATGAGTTCTATGGCACTGAGGATTAAAAACAAATAAATGCAAATATTAAGAGGATTTAAAATGTCTGTGAGGTGGCTGTGCCCCTGTTGTCTTTAGTAAATAATAGCTGAGTCCATCTTTATTTGTGTTACCAAATTGCTTAGAGGCTCAGCCAGGCTTGGAATCCTACAGCGAGGGCCAGTACAGACTGGGAGGTGGAGGTGACAGCAGGCAAGGGTTGTTCTCATCCCTATTGTGCTGCAGATAATTGTGGCGTGGGGAGATTACACCCAGCTGAGCACCAGCAGCACTTGCTGTTGCCCTGATTTTTAAAAGTGTTAAGTTTCCTTTTATAGTTCTTTTGAAAGTTTTAATGTTATTTTAAAAGCTTTCTATGACTTCTGATATTTACATATCTCTACTGGCGTTCTCACGCACTGTTCATGTAAATAATGACTGTTTTGCATTCTTCTTTGTGAGTGGAGAGAATTGATGGACTGTTGGTTTGCCCAGTGTGGTTGGAGAGGTGGCAATTCCATCCTCCAATCCATGTCACTTTTAGAATTCTATATATTGTGAGGTCAGAAGTAAAATTGGCTCTTTTTCTCTTGTGAGCTTACCAAGCTTCTGTGCACTCATTTTGTGTCCAATAGCAACAACTTGCTGCCATTGGTAGCTCGAGGGACATGGCAGAAAACTGGAACTGCTGCCTCTGAGTCTCAACAGTGTCATGGCTAAAACTATAAACATCACTAGGTCCTCCTTAAAAATCAACCTGATCCCTTTAACTCATTATTAACTTCCTAAGCCTCTCCAAAGCATGTCCTGGTCTTCACAGAAAAACTAGTAACTGTGATGCAAATGCTGGGAACTCAGATTTACTTGGAAAGTTGGATCTGAGATCCAGGGTTTGGTCTTGGCTCTCCATCTCTTGCTAAGCTGGTGAAAAATCTAGTCAGAGTTTATTTATATTTTATGTATGGTTATATTTATATCAAATACTATCTGGATTATTGCCTTGTATTACAGGATGAGTGCTATTATTCTGCACCTTACTCTCAAATTTTCCTCTCCTGAAGTGATGAGTTGATCTACACTGTTCATATTTAAAATATAGAGGAGAGAACATTTGTGGTGACACTTTTCAAATCAATTAGAAGCTCTGTAATATTCAGCTGTCATGCACACTGCACACACCTGACAGTTCCTGCAGCCAAAAACTCCTGCAAATCACACTGGCTGCTTGTGATGGAAAACAAAAGAATGATATATCTTCTATTCAGTGGGTTTCAGATTTTCTTTTTATATTGAGTTTGACATCTTATGCATTTGAACTGTTGTTTTCCTTTCACATTGACAATTAGTATATATAAGATATTAGTGCAATATTTTTTTATTGGTGATGACTTGACTTTAAATCCTCAGGTCCCTCCCAAAACTCATGGTAAAGACAATAAATCTTAAACTGCTCTTTTTTTTTGTGAAAAACACATTGACATTCAGCTGCCTTATGAAAAATCACCTGCATGGTGAGCAGCCAGAAAGAAACAAAATCTTAAGACATTTTCTTATGGAAAAATAAAAGATGAGAGCATAAAATCCAAAACTCACCTTGTTGGCTAGCAAGTCAAAGTGGTTCAAACAAAGACTTGTGCCACACATTCAACCCTGGGTTGTGCTAGCATTATGGTCTCTTGACCATATTTTAATGCCATACTGCCAAAGCCTAACTACTACTATTACTACTAAGTCTGAAGGTTCAATAGAAGGAGAACTTGGTGGGGGAAAACTGGAGGACAGCCCACCACAACCCTGTCTGCCCAGTGCTGCAGAGAATTTCACCACTGCTCACATATGCTGCTGAGCACAAGCAAACAGAATTTTTTCACTGGGATTTACAAGTTGGCCAAGTTTCAGCAGATTTTTATGAGGCTGGCTAAAAGAACATTATCAACATGAGGCTGACAGACCTGCTTACTTACCAAATAACACTTAGCCAATTTTTGAATTCCTGTTCTCAAGCAGGAAGGCACCATAAATGAAACAAGTTTTCCTAGAACAAAAATAAAGTACTAAACCAAAATATTTCTTGCTATCTTTACTCCAAAGGTTATTCTGATTTCTTTCTCACATATACACAAACCATCTTTACATGATTTTCAGCAGAGAAAATACCATTCCCAGTAACTAAACTCTACTGAAGCTAAAAAACAGATAAAGATGGTCCTTACCGGGCCATGTCAGGCAACTTTCATCATGGTGCTCCAAGCTGAGCCAAGAAAAGATGTTAAACAGTGTCAGATAGACAACTAGGAGAAAAAATGTATGAGACATGTCTGGAGGTGAGATTTGAATAAGAGAGGATTGCAAAGAGCTTTGGCTCTAAAAGTAATGTGTGGGGTGAATGATGTTTGCTATAATCATACCTTTGCTTTTTTTCTTAACCCACATGTGCTTCTTCTTATAAGCCAACCTCTTTGGAATGAAGACAGCTCAAAAACACAATTCTCACAGTCTTTAGTGGTACAGGTATTTGTAAGTGGCTAGTGTACCCGTGCTGCGTGACTGGAAAGAGGTGCCTGCTTTGCAGGCAGACCATACCTACAGCTCACCAACATGGGCTGAGGGCTAAGCATTATTTCAGTTAATTTGGACAGACAAAGCCAGCCCAAAGTCCAGCTCTTGCTGTCCCTCCCATCACATCCTGGCACACCTGGGGAGGGCACAACAAGGGCTGCTGGAAGGAGGGTTTGGTTTCTGAGTGTCAGGGCTCATTGCTGTGCCAGTCCCATGGCTTTGCTGGCAGGGTGGAGGCCCACAGTCACGATGGCCAGAAGAAGGGTTTGTGTGGCACAAACTGCAGGGAGGGACTGACTGGGTCTCAGGCTTTCAAAGTGCATCCACTTTGCTCAGGAACAGTTTTCTCAGGGGCACTCTCTGTGCACTGCACCTGCACAGGCTAACTGAAATTCAATAGGGAGGCTGTGGCACGTACTTCTCTCTTTGTGCCTCCTTTCATGGGAGCATTAGAAAGGGTCTGAGGAAAGATTTACCTCTTTTCCTTAGCTTGCTTGGCCCCTCCAGCAGTCAGAAGTGTTTGGAGCCTGTTTTCTGTCTCCTGAGCACCATTCCCAGAGGATTTGCTCCCACACGTTTCATTCTCCCAGCTCTCCACCTGTGCCCTGCTGGGAATAAGAGTGTCTAGCCCAGCAGCCAGCCTGGGCTTTGTCACAGCTCTTGGCTGGTGACATACAAACTCAGACTGGCCCAGCTGAACCTGCTCACCACAGATTTGCTCCCCCCACCACTAAATGCAGTAATTTCCATGAAACTTCTCCCAGAGGGAAAATAGGTGTTACTTGCAGTCTTGCCACCAAAGCAGTAATGTGTGACCTTGGCTTCAGCCCTACCACCACCACTGGAGAAAGTGCACTGACCTGCTGAACCTGTGTCACAGGCTGTGTCCCTCACTCCCACCTCGAACTCTCTTGGACCACAGGAGAAAATGGGTAAAAGCAAAGCAGAAGGAAGGATAAGATGTGCTGCAGTCTTCAGTTTCCATCATCTCTCTCTTCCTCCCCTGCAAAATAAATCAGTTTCTGTGTGGTCTGCTCAGCAGATGGGTCAGCAGAGGCACTCTCTGCCCTGGATGTTCTGTATGAAACAGGGTGTGAGTTCACATTTGCCGCATGTGAATCTACATTTTGGAGTGAATTCACAAACTCGTGCCCTTACAGTACCAAAACCAACTGCATTAAGTAAACTTCTGTCTCAACAGCCTGGATACCAGTGTCAGAATCGTTAACTGCAGTTGTGTTTTCAGTTGCCAAAACCCAGAGAATTGGGAGCCTTGTAGATGCTGGAATTGTCATGCATGTCCCAAAGGAAGGGCAGGGGTTCAGGGATTTCCTACCATGCACGGTTTGTTCACAGGATAGCATCTTCAGCAGGAATTTGTCTAGTAGCTGCTTGAGGGATGTAACAAAATGACTGAAGAGCACAATGGCAGCTGATCAAAAAAGTGCCAGCTGAAAAGATCATTTTCCACTCTGTTATAAAGGTATAAACCCTATGGGCTCACTGGGAGTAATACCTTAAACCCCATACAATGATTTTTCCCAGACAGTGCAAATGGGTCAGTTCTGTTTGTCTGTGCTCCATTTATCTGTCAGTGTCTGTGTTCTGGAAGGGCACATCTCCTATCTTTTTTTTTTTTTTTCTCTAGATTTTCAGCTTCTAATTAATGGAAAGTTGGTAAGAATTTTGTTGCACTTTTTTTTGTTTGTTTTTGTTAGCTACCTCTTCTTCCAACTTCAGAATTGCATACCACCAGGACAGCCCAGTTGCCATTTTAAATGCACTGTAAGGTACTGAAAGATGCTGCTATGTCAGTTCTAGATTAATTTGGTTTTGTCTCAAAGTCCATAATTTTCCTCTTTGATATCTAAATCACTTCAGCTGTCTCTTCTTTCACATTTGGTGTGGTGACAAGAAATAAAAATGGCACTTTCAAAAAAAAAAAAAAAGGAACTGACTGATTTCTAAAATAAAATCATATATTTATACTTTCCCCCATGATTTATATTGCCTGTTTTTCGCATCCCTTTTGGGCACAGCTTGCCAGGTTTATATTTAGGTTCAGATTTAGAGCAGGTCCTAATTTTTAGCCACTAACCTCTTTCAACTCAACAGCACTTTACCTCTCATTTAATGCTTTCTCTACTTCCTTAACAGTCATTTGTGAATATAAAAAAATGAAGGTATTAAGGAGGCACATCTTCCCTTCAGGAAGAGGCTAGTTTTCCTTTCAGCTCATGTTCTCTGCTAAACATTTTGAACATCCACATGATTGGTTTTACAGCTTTTCCTAGAGGTAACAAACAGCAACTTGTACCTCATTGGGGTCATCATTCCTTTTACAGGACACTGAAAACCACTACTTTAATTTCATTTAAATGATGCATAATCAGACAAATACATATATTACAACATATGTACAATGTGCATCCAGTAGATATTGATACCTTAATGTTTGAAGGCTTTACACCCACGCTTCTCTGGAGTCCAACTCCTCAGGAATGTCCTTGACTAACTTTGGTGTTTTGTTATCCACAGCTGATTCCTGGTTTTCAAAATTATTAAAGCAGCACCTTGGTACCAGAATGTGTCATCTTTGTTGCCTGAGAAAAATTGGTGCATCTCCAGAGGCTCCCCAGAGGAGACTGACAGAAGTACATCTGGGAGGTGCTCAGCTAATTTAATAATGAATTATTAAAGAATAATTAATATTCTTTAATTACCTCTCACCTTTATTTTCCAGTAACCTACTTGTCACCATATAATCTTTACTTTTCTCTTCTGAAGAGCTCCTTGTTTGTTTTCACACTTTGACCTCCTATTTTCCAAATCTGCCCTTACATCACCCAGAATCTGGACTCTTTATTGGCTTCACAGTCTGCCCAAAGTACTTTTGTCATTTAACCACGAGAAAGTTTTGGTTTTGTTTGTTTGTTTTTTTGTGGTTTTTTTTGTTTGGTTGGTTTTTTTGTTTGGTTTTTTTTGTTATATGTGCCCAAATACATTTAAGGGTCAATTAGTGGCTAAAGATTTGTGTTGAAAACTCTGCTTTACTCTCCCATCTTCTCTGATTTTTGTTCATCTTTCCCATTCTTTGTGGCTTTCTTTACAATGTTTGAAGCTTATTTTTAGACTGGAAATCCTGGCTCAAACCCAAAAATAAAATATTGACCTATATTTCCCTGCCCCAATACTCTCTTCTCACACTGGTGACTCCCCTCCTGTTTTCTGAAGATACTCAACATCCAACATATATTGTGTAGTTCGAACACTTCTACACCCACTCTCTTTCACATCCAAGTTTCACACCCACAGATAAAAGCCTTTAAAGGGGGACTAACACCTGATAAACTCTGAGGAATGAACCAGTCCCAGCCTTTGAGATCTCCCCCTTCCACAGTAATGAAATCTTTAAAATTATGCTGACCTTACATATTTGGAGTTAGAAATGAGACAAAGGTAACATTGTGTGTGGCTTGATTGAGTGGATTTCTGAATAAACAATAAAGTTATGGGATATATTACACAAAGATCAAAACCACTGAAGCTTTTTCATTTACCTTCAAAAACTAGAAGCAAACACTAAGCTCATCCAAGAGGAGTAAAAATTTCTCTGCTTCTGAAAATAAAGACCTAATCAAGACTGATATGAATCTATATTATTTCCAAAGGATTAGGGAGTTCTCAAAATATGTTCTAGGCATAATGGATATCCAATTCTATTCAATATTCATCATAAAAAAACTAAATTAATGTCTCTAGGTACATACAGACAGAAGTGATATTGGTCTCCTAAATGTTTTTACCACATAAGATTTACAGGAAGCGTTCATATTAGACTGGGTAAGAGACGCCCTGGTATTTAAGATATATTTCTAGGTTGAAAGACAGTCTAGAATCTGAAAATTTGATTTATTTTCAAGCCAACCAGAAACCACTGGAATTGTTTTAATGCTTTAGTAATTTCCCCTGACATAATTTGATCCATAGTAAATTGCAAGGGAAGAAGAGTAAATGATAGTGCTAATTAAGAGGAACAGGGACATAGATTATGCTGGCTGTTGTGCATATTTCACTGTGCCATGTACATTAGCTCAAGCTCCTACAGTTACCAATAGGTGGCAGAATATTAAAAAATAAAAAAAATTAAACTCACCTTTAAGTAGAAATTCAAATGTAAGCACTTCTCCTATCCCACATCTGCATGGAATTAGACGTAAAGAGAAAAATATTTATGAAGGTGACAGATTATTTGCTAGGATTTCCTGTATTTTTAAATAATCCCAGCAATTTCCCTAGAGCGTGTGAAAGCCCACAATGCAAATTATTTGATCCTTGTCACTGTTTATATAATAAGCCATAAATGCCTCTGAACTATTGGGTATATTGGGATAGCAAAGTACTGTGGCTCTACAGTTTTCTACCTTTTCACATCAACCAAGAGATCAAGAAAATTTTTTAAAAAAGGAGGAATCTGTAATTAATGAAAGTTAGCTCCATAGGTATTTATGGTTTAATTTTTTCCAAAAAAATAATTATAATCACCATGGTCTATCATGGTCTTAACTTCATTAGTGGTAGCTATTAAATTTGCACAAAAGAATCAGAGCCAGATGTACCGATGAGAGAGGTCTAGGATATCTAGTTGCAGGTAAAATTGCTAATGCAACATTTTTAGCACTAAAATGCATTTATTAAAGTTCTTCTCACATCTCCTATCTGTTCCCATCACAGTCAAATGGACAAAAAAAAAAAAAAAAAAAAAACCAAAAAAAAAAAAAAAAAGCTATTGGGCTAATAGGGTTTAATATTCAAATCACCAGGGACATTACCATCAACTATAAAACAAAATGAAAATATTTATACCCACAAACTGCTCTGAAATTTCCAGTATTTGGTATTTCTGAGCAGAAATGGACCACGTGCCTGTGTCAGCAGTAGGAAATCACAACACAGAGCCATGAAGTATGACTGGAATGAGAACTGCTCTGAGCACAGCACTCAGGGCTGCATGCACTTTGTGCCCAGGATGTGAACCAGACCTCACTTGCACTTAGAGCTAATTTGAGCAACCTCTGCTTGAAGGCACATTGGGCCAAACCGACACTCCCCAGGAGAGCTCAGATCCAAGCACTGCAAACCTTTGTGAAGTGCACACCCAGTGATGTCCACAGCCACCCCCTGGACGCAGCCCAGAGCCCTCTGCCTCCTCTGCAGCCTCCTGAGACACAGCAGGACCAGAAGTGCCTTTATTGCACCAGGACAGTGAATTCTTGCAGGTCTCGTGGGTTAGCTGCAGGTGGAAACAGGTGATGCACTCGGCCACCTGAGAGGAAGCAAAAGAAAAAATGCAATATCACAGAATTTCAAATGCTTATTTTCATACTTAAAACAGCTGAAGAAACTCAGCTGGTTTTTCTATCTGCTCCCATTTCCAATGTTGGACTTTTTCTGTTTCATAGAAACAACAACTCATCTTTATAACAATACCCCATAAATTAATTAATAAACACAATTAAAAATTACACAAATTTTTGACAATTACAAATTTCCCCAAACAACTACTATTCACAGAAAAATTAAAAATCACAAAAAGCTATTTTCTTATAAAAAATTCTCCATAACATTAACAAACAAAACCTTCTCTCCCTAAGAAAACTAAAAACCCCCAATTTTATAAGTAGTAAACTAACCAAAATGTTAAGTTTTATCTCCTTAAATTATCAATTAAAAAGTTATAAAAAGAAAATAGTCTAAAAATGTTATTCTAATTCTTATTACTTCCTTTTAATTACCATTAATAAGTTTTTCTTTATACCCTTCTAAAATTTTAGACCTACTTTACCTTTTGCCTAATCTTACCTCACAACAAAAAATAAGTATATTCTAATAAGTACAGTAATCATTAACCAACACTAAACCCACCACACCCATTAACACATTAACCAAAAAATGTCCAATTAACAAACCAAAACTACTACACCCACCTGATTGCTTAACAGCTAGCCTAAGAAAAATGACAAATGGTAAAGGAAAAGCATATTTCACTCTGCTTCTAAAGTTGGGGTTCTCTGATGGTAGTTTTTGTGTTTTATTTGTTTGGGTTTTTTTGCTTGGTTTCTTTTTTGTTCTGGTTTAATTTAAAAAATTAATATAAAGAGAATGTTCTCCCTAGGACTGTTTTTCTAAACTTTTGCTGCTCTGTTACTCACAAAAAAGAAAATAAATAGGATAATTCATAACATCATCATGTCTAGAATGAAATAATGCCAGAAGATTTTTCCCTGTGTGGCTTCATGCTCATTCAAAGATCTAAAGCCAAATAAATGTCAGGCAGTTAGGCCTAAATAACCCCTTAGGAGCTGAGGGGATGATAAGCATGTATATACCATTCAAAATGCACCAGTAAGTGTGGCAAGGAGGAGGGTGAGGGGTACTCCTCAGCTCCAAAACATCTTCCCGTAAGCCCAAGCACAGAGAGGTTTAATGATCTGGGGTAGAGCACAGTCAGCTTCTGCCTGATGCCTCAGGTTTAGCTTTTCTATTTTTCACATTCTTAGCTGCTTTAGTGTGTGGGTCTGGGGGCTTCACATGAGGGGATGCTGAGCTCTCTGCACAGAGCAGGGACACAAAACAATTCCTTCTCCAGCTGGGCACCAAAGACAAATGATCCAAATCTCAGCCCAAGAGCACAAACACCGTGGGCTGGAGAGAGAAAAACAAGCAGGATGGGACTGCCTGGGCTGGAGCTGGAATGGGACAATGAACTCCAAGGTGCCAATGGAGCAGAACTGATCCCAGGGAGAGCCCCCGGGAGCGCTCGTGCATTTTGGGACCATTTTGGTTCATCTTGGGTGCAGCCCTGGCTGGGCTCTGGTGCTGCCCAAGGTGGATCCATGGAGGAGATCCTTTTAATCAATCCCCGCTTTAGCTCTGTCCAGCCTTCTCAAGACATCACACTCAGGCATGAGCACTCAGCCAGTGCCCATCCTTCTCCTTTCCACCAAAGCCACAGGGTGCCAAGGGGTGACCCAAGTCCAGAGCAGTGTTTTGGGGTTCATTCTCAATTTGTAAGGCTTGAGTACAAAGCTGAGCCAAAAATTGGTGGTGAACCTCTGCTGGTGACTTGTACCCAGGTTTCTTTTTTCCCTCTGAGTTCTTTGGATGTGAGCACTGAGTGGAGCTGGGATAAGCAGCTGTAGGTGAGCAGTGCCAACCCAGAAAACACTCCCAAAAAGGGAGGGGTAGATGACACCCTGTCAGTCTGATTCTGGTATTCTTATTTCTCAAATTTTTCTCTTAAGGCCAGCAAGTTAATAATGTAGTACTCATTTCTGAATGAGTATGTCAGTAACTTACTCTAGGATCTGAAGTTTCCCCCATCTATAATTTTCCAAACCATTAAGAGTTATTGGGCTACATTTAATTTCTTTGGATATGCTCAATAGTTTAATCTGATTTATCAGATTGGGGCATTAGATATTTATTCTTCATTATTGTCTGGTTGGAGCAGTCTGGAAGTTGCTCTCAACTAAGGAGAAACAGCAATCTGCTGCTCCAGGAATGGTAATATTCCCAGGCAGACACAGAGAAAGTGCAGATGGAAAACAGAGTTCTGAGGGGAATAAGAGATGAAGGGTGCCACGAGTCAGACAATAATGGCTCTCTGCATGCTTGCAATATTAAATTTCAGAAGGAAAACGCTATCACTCTGAGACGTTGTTTTAACTGACAAACCTTTAAACGTGAGCAAGTGGGCTAGAAACCACGCACGGCAGGTTTTTAGCCACATTAGCAGGCAGCTTGATTTCAGCACAGGATCATTTAATGGAACGTGGTTAAAGTTGCCACAGGTGACAAGAGGAGGCTGTAAATAGCTAACAGGCGTGCTTGATAAAACAATAGCAAGCCTGGAGGAAGGACATTAATATACTGCTAGGAACTTTTCTTCCCAAGTGTCTGCAGTTCTCCCCCCAGCTCCTGATGTTCTCATCTAATTTCCAAGTCATGCTTCTGAGGCCTTAGCACCCTTTTGCAAATGTCAGTGTCAGATTTTCTGTCTGCGGAGGAGAGAGGCACTAAATTTGAGGGTAATGCAATGTATTTGGGTAGTACCACTGAAGCACGGATGTTACCATAAAATAATAATATACATATTATAATAATATAAATAAACATATAAGAATATATTTATAACTCAAATAATTTAATTTATAATTATTTTTATATTCATAATTATAATTTATATTTAGACTATTATGTATATAATTACATGTACATTATTCAATGTTATTTATATTATTATATTTATAATACATTTATTATATATTTATATTATTATGCCTGTAATATTATGTATAATATTTATAATATTCTATATAATATATAATATTTATAATAATGGAAAACAATAATATAAAAATAAAATTATAATGTTAATATATAAAATGAATAATTTAATTTACCTGTAGCACCAAATATCCAAGTATACATATAGCTTATAATACCTAGGAGAGGTTTAACATATTTTCAGAAAAATGCATACAAATCCCAAGGCAAAGGAAAGTGTGAAGGCAAGAGCTCTCAAACTAGGATTTTTAAAATAGTATTCACCAGACTCACTATTATTATGTGGGTTTGGCATATGCAGTCTTGTGTGTCTAAAAAAAAAAAAAAAGCCAAGATTCTTATCACCAAGTGAAATTAATGTGCCAGGAGAAGTTTCTATCCTATGTGACAAAGACACTCTGAGAACGTAGGTAGTTCCAGCAGCAAGGCAATAACAAAGTGGATCTTTACCTCTATTTAATCACAGCATCAAGGAGCCAAGTGTGCTCAGAGAATAATTTCCCCTATATTAGTAAAAAGCAATAAACAGTAACAAGCATTTAATTTCTTTACAAGGCATAGACAATTTCTGAGCCCGCCTCTCTTTCTCCAAGCTTACACAACAGTGTCCCAGCTAGACAATAAAAATAAACATTTTAGGGGTAAATTTCTGCAGGTAAATTAATTTCCCAATAAATCAAAGAACGTACACCCAGATGTTATTTCACTTTATCACTGATCAGCACAAAGACATTTCCTGCAATGCCTCCTTCCATTTTGCCTGCTCAAATTCCAAATGATGATTTTACCTACATTGCCACATGGGGCTCTCTCCTTGTCATCCTCCCCCTGCATTTGACTTGCCACTATGTATTTAAATTTAAGGGGGAAAAAAAAAAGTAAAATTATATAGAATAGAATTGGAATTTCCCCCTTTATAGACTCACTGTGTTGGACAAAGCAATAGCTAGAGGTCTTTAGTTCAGTTATTGGGTTTTACAATGACACTTTTTCTCTTCATGATTTCTACAGCTTGTTTTGGTGTTTGACAGTTTGATTCAAAGAGCAAAGCTGAGGAGAGAGGCCTCTTTCCTGCTGTTCTGGCACAATAGAAATAAAAATGTTTCCTTCAGTTACCAGCACCATGTTGGGGGTTCTCCTCCATTGATAGAGCAGAAGTTGAGATAAGACTAAGACATTTCATCCCTTCCTTTTACAAGGTCGTTATGTTTTCTAAAGGCAGTTTATTTCACCTGCCACTTCTAGGACAGATGAATCTACAGGAGCAAGAAGAAAACCCAACCTAAGGCCATAGCTGCTTTTTCAGGATAAAACCTTTTTGAATATTTAAGCCAATTTTTTTTTAGTCAGTTAAATTAATAATATCCAAACCAAAATAATTTATGCCTAGCTCTTGTAATGAGCAATCAAGAAAATTAGTCATGTTGTATGTTGAATTGTGGATTTAATCTGCAAGTGGGCTAAAGAGTAACTAAAAGGGAAGTCATCAAATACTATTTTTTCATGCTGCATAAATCTTCTTTCCACACAATCACAACCCTCAATACAAAGCTGTTTAGCAGGTGTAATTTATTATTTATATTACGTTACCAGCTTGGTAGCCTGCTTCAACAACACCAAAGTTTTCCTGTGCAGGGCACTGCACAAATATATATATAAATTACATTTCCTGGAGCTGTGTGTGACACAGACCATCAGTCACAGTGCACACATAGAAGTGGAATTACATCCAGCTGAAAGCACAGGTTCTGTGTCACTGGTCTCAGCAGAGGTAGAACTTCACTCACATAAATTAAGGCACAAAAAATTAGTAGACTTACTTCCTTGAGATGAGATAGGAGGAGTCTCAAAGTGCAGTGTGGAGCATTTTGTTTTCACTCTTAAGTGGAATCCAATGAACCATGGATCAGACCAAACACTGAGTTTTATATATTCCCATTTTGATCAAAGCCTGGGATTATCCATGTAGAAATAATTTTGCACTCAGAAACACAGGACTCCATCACACCACTGAGTAATGGAAAATATTTTCTGTGTTCACCTTCATTCCACACATATAAACAGAAATATACAAAATGTAGTTAGTAAACTGAAAAAAATTGGTTTTGATGATGAATATATTCCTTTTGTGTTTGATGCTTGCTAATGAATAGATTCATGTTGCCCCTTAGGGATAGCTTAGAACTTCTGACCATTTGTTGCTTGCATGTCATAGGTGTGTCACACATTGAATTCTGTGCAACAATCCAATAAACCTCTTAGTCTAATACCACATAAGACTAATAAATCATTTTCTGTGCTTAGAATAGACTAAAATACATTATTATATATAAAAAAAGAAATATTTTTATGCTGTTCTATAATTTTTTTAAACACTGAGACTATAATTTATATCTTTCTGATAATTTGCATTCCAGCCCCATACCTTTGTTTCAGTATCTTGCATTTGAAGAAAATACGTTTAACACAGGAATTCCAGCAGCAGGCTTACCTGCTGTTTTGCTGGGCTGCAGCCCCTGGAAGAT